ACATACTGTTAGCACTCGTTATGGCACAATAATATGAGCTTGAAAACGGCTCTTCTGACATCAAACTAGATTTCGCTACTGGCATTTCAAAAGAGTCAAAAAACCAAAATCCCCAGAAAGTTCCACCCCTGCTCATAATGTTCCTCTATAGGGAGAACACTCACAAAAAACCCCGGATATATATATATAATCACAATCATGAGGTAGGTCCAGAACACTTTTACAGGGGAGCAGAAATAAAAAAAATATACACACACAAGCACACCACAGCGAAAAACAATGATTAATAAGCAATGCCTTTCCACAACTAGAGAAAACACATCGAGAAGTCAAAAGTTGGGGACATAATAATATATAGCAGAAAAATGCACAGGACAAAGCAAGGTACGACAAACACAAGCAACGCCAGATGATTATTTCATTGACATTGTATCAAAATACCCGTGGACGTACATCCAATGATAAAAAGGGTATGTACACGTCTGTGTCTACATTACATGCCTTGATCGATTACTGGAATGCACACCTGCCTTTAACATCATATTGTTGGGTCATGTATTTTGTTCTATACTTTTTAAGTTTATTTGTTTAAAAAGGGTAGGTGGGGATGTTAAGTTTAACGATGTCATTTCAAAGGCACGGCATTCGACCCATCGGTAAGAGAAAAACAGGCTAAAACAGCACCTGGACATGGATGGCTGGTGCCTCTATAAATAAATCATTGATGGTCAAGAGAAAAACAAAGGGAAGGGGACAAAAAGGAAGAAATGAATGTTGCTACAATACACTGAAAGACATGGACACACGCACACATCCATCGGAGCGAAAGACATCAACAAACTAAGAAGTTTTTACAACAACAAATAAATGTGTTTCTCATTGTTCATCATAATCGCGAGTCACCCTTCAGATCAGTTCCCCCCACCAGCTAGAATACCAGCCAGTCCAAAGATTTATCCCCCCCCCCCTCCCTCCCAAATCGGATAGGATAGGACACAGGGACATTAGGAAGTCCACTATTCCAAACAATAATACAATTACTTATAATAAGCAAGTAGGTGGTAAGGTCAGATGCTCTCCTCATCCTTACTATCGCCATTTTGCCTCTACTTCTTTTGTATGTTTGCCACTCAAAGCAGACTTTGTGCTGTTGAGGCTAGAGAGGGGAGCAGAGTAAGCCTGATTCCCCGTTTGGACTTCTCTGTTGACATCCACCCCTTGGCGCTCATATGACCTTATGCTGTTGCGAGCGCCGTAAAACCTTACTGAAACAATCAAGACGGTGAACAATTTAACAGCTGACAAGGCTTGACGCTCGAAGGCGCATGGACGACGACGTTATGTCTGTTGCTCCCACACATGTACAGGACCGACGACGGGGAGTTGAGGGGTTTTGACGGACTTGCGTCGCTGGTGGTTGGCGGGTGCTCTGGGGTGCGTTTGCGCCTTCTTTCCTGTCAAACATAAAACTATATGTGTCTCGACGAGGAGGACTCTGGCGCTCCTCAATTTATTGGTATCATCTTAAAGCCTGTCCATTTGCCTTGCTTTCCATGAAAAAAAAAAATCCATTTATCTTTTGTATATAAGTCAAGATTTTGGCGACTGAAGGAGACGGGTGTCGCCCGGTTTCAGAGGTAACATTAGCGAGAAAATGGCCGCCAAAGTTGCGTTATTTCCTTAGCTTGAAAATCCGCGGAAACAGAAAATTTACATCTTTTATGCCTATAATCAACGTTTTTCAGTGAAATCCACCAGAGCAAAACCCCTCCCAACAAATTTGATAAAAATTCCAAAACCTGCGGAACAATGCCAGTTTCTTCACTTTCATTATTTTGACGAGCGCCTGATTTCACCACGCTGCCTCACATATTATATCATCCTTATCTCTCCTGCTTCTTTTCTGTGTTTGTTACTCTCTCGCAACACTCCTAATCTTCGGCCCTTATATCATGACCTTATTGTGTTGCAAGAGCCATAAAACTCTCACTAAAACTTAAAAAAACTTGCGTTCATGAATATCTTCGATATCGGCCGTCGTCAGACAGAGTCGCTACTACCATCAAAATATTTTGTTTCGCGGAATTTAAGGTTGATAAAATGCCAGTATAAAACGACTTAAAGACCAACGGGTTCTTGAGGAAACAGTCAAACTATCACTTCTCTTTCTGCTTTTCAATAACAACTCATTGGCAGCAAATGTTTTATGCCATAATCGTCACAGGCGAGATCATTAAGGAGGCGGACTGCTCCGGGCCTGGCAATAAAGACCAACGAGGAATAAGAGGGATACCGCATAAACCCCCCCCCCAAAAAAAAAAAAAGAAAAAAGAAAAGAAAACACCCCCAACCCAACAACAGTCTAAATATTCATTAAGTTATTTAGTTTTAGTAGGGGTTTTACGGCGCTCGCAACTGCATTAAGTCATATGAGCGCCAGAAGATTAGAGTTGTTACAAGAGAGTAACAAACATACAAAAGAAGGAGGGAAGATAAAGACTAAAGACGTTTGATAGGAAAGAAGAAGCAGACCACACCAGAGCACCCGCCAACCACCCACCGTCTAAATATTCGATAAAATGACTCAGGTTCATGTCTTCTGCGATAACAGCAAAGAGCCCAACCGCTACACCACGGGCGCAGGTATGAGACAGAGTGAACGACATCATTGTTACCACGAAATAGTCTCTCTCTAAGATGTCTTCAAAATCACTTTAAATGGAGACTATACATGTCCTCGGGGGAAAAACAGTCAAAGTACGTCATGAGCCTTTCCTCTTTCTGCTACATTGCCTTTGACACTACTCGATAATTCTAAAGGCGGTGCAACAGTAAGGCTTGGCCGGCAATGGGCAGCCTTGCAATTCCCCCCCCCCTCCCCCCATATTCTTTTTTTAAATCAGCCAGAATAGTATGTATTATGTAAGCATACTACGTCACTGGACCGAGCTCTTCGTGTCCCCTACCAACCCTTCACGTCTTGAGCGACCGAAATAAAACATACTATCGCAAAGCATGCAAGAATGTAAGAGGATATAGTACGGGCTATGCTATGAGGCTATCGGGGATGTGTGGAGTTAACCCTATCCATACGTCGTGTTTTACTATCGTATCCATACGAGGTGGGGAACTCTGTGCCACCAGTTTCCAAAGAGGAAATTTTCTCGTTAATGCGATCCGTACGCTTTAAATAGCAGTCTGTAAGAATGATTTTTTGAGAAATACTGAAAGTTTCAAGGAGATCTTCGCACTAGAAGTATTCTAAAATGTGACGAATACAACCACGGGGGTACATAATGACCCCAGGGCGTACGAATAGGGTTACGGCGTTTTTAGGGTGCACGACTTGGGCATTCACCTCAGATTCAGATATCATTAACCTGTCAGTCAAAGTGATTAAGGTTTTACTTGAATGTACATGCAATAGAACCAATCGACAGTTCTTCATTCAGTAGAGTGCATTTCTCATCGGTATTGCATGTGGGGGGGGGGGGTAATCGTTTAGAAAGACCGTCACTGACTGTTTCTTACAACGACCTGCCTTTTCTTTATTTCGGAGGGCTACATTCTCGGCGGAGACTTCAGTAATGGCGACAATCTCCAGAACCTAGCGATAAAAATTGTGGGCTTGGAACTTGACAGAAGAAATAGAAAAACCCACCTGGATAAGAATCGCTTCGGAAAGTGAAAACCGCAGAAGGTGGGCAAAAACTAAAGTAGGCGACCAAGTCACACTTTCCTCCTCTCCCCCTCCCTTCCCTCTGTCTCTATTTCTTCAAAAAGGTGCAAAAGTCCGTGTGTGTGCGTGCCAGAGCTGCTGGTGACGTCGACAAAGATAACATGGAAGGCAGTGGCTCGACCTCACGTTATACCATGACCTTCTCCCAGTTCCTCTTCTCTCTCTCTCTCTCTCTGTATGGCTCTATCTCCCCTTCCTTCCCTTATTGTCACTACAATTCGCCACTTTAAGCACTTTCTGAAAGTGCGTTACAAGTACATGTAATTAAAACCCCCCCACACTGTTGCAAACTCCTGCCTACATAACATATTTTCGGCATTTTCTTAAAAGCGGTTCCTTCAAAATGTCCAGATACGGAAAATGATCACAAGGAGACAACGACGACAACTGAAGCAGTGTTTGCAAAAAATGTTTGCTAACAATAAGTCAGTATAAACAGTTTTTTTTAAAGCACAACGTTTGTTCTTTTTTTTTTTTTCAATCTTCCTTCAAAGACCTCGAAATGACAAACTACAAATCCAAAACACCACACCAGAGAGCTGACTTGAGCTGAGTGTCTTCCTGTTTTGTTTGCTTTAGTAGAGGTTTTACGGCGCTCGCAACTGCATACGGTCATAATGAGCGCCTGAAGATTAGAGGTGTTACAAGAGAGTAACAAACATAAAAAAGAAGAGGCGGAGATAAGGACGATAGATGTTTCATAGGAAAGAAGAAGCAAACCACACCAGAGCACCCGCCAACCACCCACAGAAAAGGATAATGATCACGACAACGAGACAATGACGACAACTGAAGCTGTGTATGCAAATGTTTGCTAACAATAAGTAAAAACTGTTGTTTTTTTTCAAAGCACAGTGTTTTTTTCTTCTTTTCAATATTTCTTCAAAGACCTCGAAATGACAACCACAAATCGAGGACACCACACCACATCAGAGAGCTGAGTGTCGTCCTCCTCCTTTGCAGCAACATCCAAAACGTTCTACATGATATTGAAACACAAAGTAACGACCACAACGAAAAAACGACAAACAGCTACAATATAAACAAGAGTGTCGTCATTAATAAATTGTGTTATGAACAAAGCGAAAGGGGGGCGTGCTCTATGTGACTGACAGCTTCACAAGCCAAGAAAATGAGGCCGAGAGGGGGCGGAGCTACAACAACGCCATGTTAGTCTGGTTGCCATGGAGGCACAGTGCCAAAGGGTTAGATATAGAGGTTATAGAGTTCGAAGGTCATCAAGACAGGGGATGCTGCTTACCGAGAGACTGAGGCCCTGCATGACCTGAAGGAGTACGTAAATGACGTAAAATGTTAGCGTTTCTAATACCCAAATGCACATTCGCGCGATCGGCTCGGTTCCCTTCGGTTTGCTAGCCAGATTAAGGGCTCAAAGCGGCTATCGTGGCACAAACCGATCGCCCGACTCGTCGCCTCAAAAAGCAAACTCGTTTGTTTTCAGGCGACCAGTCGGGCGATCGGTTTATATTTGAGAACCAACCCCCCTCCCCCCCCCTACGGGGACTCCAATTCTGGCTAGCCCCGTCTACCAAACCGAACCGAATCGACCCGATCCGATCATGCCAATGGGCACTCCGTATAAGGGAGCATAGTGTGCCAACACAGGGTACTTTTGTGGACAGGGAGTGCCCAGTTTCAAAACAAAATATATTCACATAAATCATTAATTATTAATATATTAATTAATTAATTCACATTTTAGACTTACAAAAACACAGTCGCCTCACTCTTAAGTCAAGCAAGAGTATATTCAATATTTTCAAGAATTTAAAAGTGCAGTTTCCAGCTCTACTACACATTATTTCTGCAATTTCAAGGACATACCCCCCCCCCCCCATCCCCACTCCCTTTCATTCAAGGTCAAGGTACCAGGCTCAGAGGGAAAGAAAATTCCAGTATGTCCGAGGAGGAGAAAAAAAGGGTCCCAGAACCCAAACGATTAACTCTTTGGGGACATAACGGACACAATATACGTCCGACCAAAGGCAATGTTGCTGCACATTCTGAATCATCATACACAAATCAGAGACATGAATTTACATATTTCATATCATGAATGTTTAATTTTTTGTTTGTTCGTTGTTTGGGTGTGGTTTTTTTGTTGTTGCCTGCTTCATTAAAGTTTTAGACAACAACAAACACAATCGAAAAATCTACATGAATAACAGAGTTATAATATTATCTCTTTTAAAAAAGTACTCCAAAACAGCACGTCCTCAATTAGTTAACTAATCTACACCCCCCCTCCCTCCCCAGCCGACTACCTAATAAACAGGTACATGTATAAGCCACCATTGTGTAGCAGCTGTATCAGCGCGGCTGGAAGACCTTAAAACTCAGATAGAATGTAACAAGGGGGGCTGTTTATGACTGTGTGACGGATAACTTTAGAGAGACAGGGCCAGTGACTCCTTTGAGTTTGATGATTAATTCAGAACCAGCAGCGTATTAAAATTAAATGCAAAGACATGCCAAAATAATACAAAAACAAAACACAAAAAAGCTAATAAAAATTCCAATCCAAAACCACCAACCATAATCACAGTCATTCATTAACTTAGCCATACAGTGACACATGATTCGGAATTAAAACAACCTAAAACAAACAACAAAAATAAAAAAACCCTAAAAACAAACCAACCAAAAATTAAAAAAAACCCAATTCAACACCCCCCCCCCCAAACTATAAAACTAAAAACAGAAAATCTAAATAACAAATAAAACAAATACATAAATAGGAAGATGAAAAACTCCATCCAAAACCTATAAAACAAACATGCAGTCAAAAACCAATAAAACAAACAAAAACCAAAACAAGCAAACAAAACAAACAAACAAATATACAAACAAACAAACAAACAAATAAACAAATAAACAGAGCCCGTAGCAGCGTCATACAAGATATCATTATCAATCGCTTTTCCTCGCGAAATGATGAAATGTATCCATCTGTTTGTGTTTGGGAACACCGGATTTTGTCCTTTCTTTTCATAACTCACTTTTTGGCAGATTGATCCTTAGCTGAAGTTACATCTCCATAAACCCAGGATCAATTCACCAAGCAACATAATGGCACGGTATGATGCTATTACGTTTTCACGAATCTGTAACCGATACATAAGTTAATTACTATCAAAACTCAAAGTTTGAAATCAGTGATATCAAAACACGAGGGGCTATTCGGTTATTCGGTTTCATCCTCCTTAAAAGAAATTAATTTGTTTTGCGAGCTGTTGGCTCTTTCGATTTTCTATAACCAAAATGAACCCACATTTATTCTAATTTGATCTGGTTTAAAAAAAAAATACGCACAACAGCAACGCGTAAGATATTACAAGTCTTTTTTTAGCAACCGAATTCTTTGTTTATGCCCCCCCCC